TCAAATGTACTTTAAATAACTTATGCCATCTTTCTTGTGATAACTTTCTAGTTTCTTTATGCATTATACAGTGGAAGACCACAAATTTTAGTCTTTTTGGCTGTAAAAATAGTGATTTAAAATTGCTCACTATGTATATAAATTTTGAATGTATAGTAGAGACTGGATATATATCAGACATATATATAAGAGCATGTGCATAAATATGTACACATATATCATAGAATCATGGGATGGTTTGGGTTGGAAGGGACCTTCAAGACCATCCAGTCCCACCCCCTGCATGGGCAGGGACACCTCCCACCAGCCCAGGTTGCTCCAAGCCCCATCCAACCTGCCTTTCAACACTTCCAAGGAGGTGGGATATATGTATACACACTATACTATATATATTTACACACAGTGGAATAACTGGAATACCCTTAAGCACAGTATAAACATCTAGGTATTCAACATATCTACCTAAGTATGACCAGACCAGCAGAGGTTGGGATGGAGGAAGCACCAAGCCCTGTTCAGACAGGCCCTTTCTATTAATTCAAAGAGGAAAAGCACTGTGATCCAACAACATTCAGACACTCCCTGCTCTGCTGAAATAAGTGCAACAGAGGGGTCTTTAGAATAGTGAAGTCGGGAAGGAAACAAGAACAAAAAGGAGTTTTTCCTGAGAGGGGGAAGGCAAGATCACCCAGAGCAGGGGAGAGGACCCTCCTTACCATGGCGAGCAGGAACCGCACAGTCACGAAGCTGTAGTAGTCAAAGGTGAAGGCCACTGCCACTCCAAAGACAAACTGACCAGCACTTGTGAACCAGATCACACGCTGCCTTCCCAGTCTGCAAATCACAGCAGGGACACAGTTATGAATAACCACAGACATGCCATTTAAATACACCTGCAACTCCAGACTCCCTGTCTGGAAGTGACTCCGAAAACACCCAACGCGCTCACTCACCACAGAGACTCTACACTAGTTTCCTGTATTTTCCTCACCAGGTGAGAAAGAAAACCATTCATTTTTCAGTAATTCCAACAAAATGCAGGAAAAAAAGAAGCTCCTATGGAAGGAATTCCCACTCCACTCTTCTTGACTGGAAGCAACATGCAGGAACAGGCATTTACATCTGCCCACCTCTGGTTTCAAGTTTAATTTCTAGATAACTAGTCTGCAAATCCACTGGTGTATCTGTGAGGGGGGTAGGTAAGCCTTGCTTTTCAGATGTTTTATATTAAGTAACACATGGTTAGTAGCTTCCAAGAAAAGCTAGCTGTGATAACACATCCTGTCTCTTGCCCAACCAATTTGGACAGTAACGACAGGCTTCTGTAACATCTCTTTGTCCAGTCATTTGAAGTTGAATTCTCTAATAAATGACAATTACATATTCCTCTAATTTTTTAATTGCCTCACAGCACACGTGCCTGGACAAACACAGACCTCCAATAAGCTAGTACACTAACAGACACCACCAACATGTCAAATACTAGCTGCCCATCAACAACATGGTCATTCCAGTGTAAAAGGGCATTTAGTAAAAGGGAAGTTCTTATTTATCTTTTCCCAACATCTCAGGGAGAAAATACACCTAGAGAGTCAGTTGTCCCTCAACAGGTTAGCACACACTGTCACTAAGAGGCTCATCTGAGGAGAAAACCTAGAAATTTGCAGTAGATACACAGCACTCCATGGAGGATTCATTACATTCTGCCTGCAAATGTTCTGTACCACAGAACGTGTGGAATCATTTTCCTCCCCTGATAACCTTCTCTCGGACTTTAATTTTCTACGCCACTGCAAACAGCTTTTCACAGGTGTGGACAGTAAGTTTGGACACAGAGTTTGTGGACTTTCAGGGGTGTGAGCTCATTTGTGGGTTTTTCTCAGTTTTTGGTGTTACATTAAAACAGCCCTGGGAAGGCTGAGAGAGTTGGGGTGTTCAGCCTGGAAAAGAGAAGGCTCCAGGGAGACCTCAGAACCCCTTCCAGTGCCTGAAGGGGCTCCAGGAAAGCTGGGGAGGGGCTTGGGACAAGGGCAGGGAGGGAGAGGACAAGGGGGGATGGATGAAAACTGGAGGAGGGGAGATTGAGGTGAGACATGAGGAGGAAATTCTGGAGTGTGAGGGTGGTGAGACACTGGCCCAAGTGGCCCAGAAAGGTGGTGGAGGCCCCATCCCTGGAGACTTGCAAGGTCAGGCTTGAGCGAGCTCTGAGCATCCTGGTCTAGGTGGAGATGTCCCTGCCCTTGCAGGGGGTTGGACTAGAGGACCTTTAGAGGTCCCTTCCAACCCAAGACATTCTAGGATTCTTTGTGATGTTGTCAATAGGAGGTATATTCCCAAAAGCCACACAGCACAGTTCTTTTCAGCACCCTCCTGCTTCTCTCCAGCCATGACCTGGAGTCATGCATATTTGGCCTCTGATTCCTGCCAGTAGAGATCCCAGTGAGTCCCAGCTGTCAGAGCTCTTCTGTTGGGAAATCTGCTAATTACAAATGGGAGGAACCACAAACTTAACCTCCCACCAGCCAGGATGTGTCAGAAAATAATAACTTTCAGCTATAAAATCTACAGTTGTAAATCCCCAACTCAGAATGTGGGTATTATCTTAACTGGCTGTCCATGGCTTGAATTAATGGCAATGAAAACAATATGATCATAACCTTATAAATCATGTCTGAGAATTAATAAAGCTATGAACGATTTAAAGGAACACAGAACAAGTGTTGGCATTATATTCTGGTTTTGTATTAAATATGGTTATACAAAGCCTTGGATCAGGAGGGAGGATTGATTCCATGTGTTCTAAAAGCCAAATTAAAAAAAAAAAAATCATTACTTCTGCATCCCCACGTTGTAACTGTAACACCACAGCACTGTGCTAAGGAAGGAAAACCAGAAAACAACACGCCTGGTCTGCTTTTTCTGCTCATACTGCTTGTCAGCTGGGGGATAAAACTTCACCCTCTGCCTAACAGGGCTGTTAGTCACAGAACCACAGACTGGTTTGGGTTGGAAGGGACCTTCAAGATCATCCAGTTCCAACCCCTGCATGGGCAGGGACACCTCCCACCAGCCCAGGCTGCTCCAAGCCCCATCCAACCTGCCCTTCAACACTGCCAGGGATGGGGCAGCCACAGCTTCCCTGGGCAACCTGGGCCAGGCTCTCACCACCCTCACACTCCACAATTCCCTCCTCATGTCTCACCTCAATCTCCCCTCCTCCAGTTTTCATCCATTACCCATTGACCTAAGCTCATTCTAGTCAACAAGCTCCTTTACAGAAAGAGACCAATAACACTAGCTTGGTGTTCCAATTGAAACACAGGTACAGAAACTGCCTGAGACAGAACCAAGTACAACATAGCTCAAGCACTTGACTCTCCTGACAGGGTGCTGAGCCATCTGATTTAAACTACATTATTACTTAGACAGGTTGGACCTTGAGGTCCCTTCCAACCTGATTGGATAGCAAGGAAAACTAGTGTATTGGTGTTTAAGAACATGGGGCCTGGTCAAAACCTCTGCATGAGCCCCACAGAGCTGCATTCATGACAGAGGTCAGGAAACTGGTGATTTATAAATAAATAATTTCAACATTCTAGTACCTTAATATGTTTATCATATTCAGAAAGAAAAATCTGTGTTTCCATGATGAATCTGTTCTCATGGAAAATGAGGTGAAAATCTATTCCCACGTTTTATTGGTGCTAATAATACTAACTATTGCTATTGCTGTTAAAAAAAAAAAAGAATAATAATCTAGAGTAAAATGCTAGTTGCAGAGAGCAATTTGAGGAACCAAGGCCTAGAACAATGGCTGATCTAAAGTAGGAAAAAAATTCTAAAAGCAAATGATTCGTGAACACATTTTAAAATTGGTGCTTGCTCTCAGGAAAAGAAATTGAGTTGAACACCTCTGTGAACAAAACAATACCCAAACCTCTTTATCTGTGAATAGAGAATGATGAATACCCAGTGAATGAAAACAACAAAAGAGGCAGATGCAGATGGAGTTGCTGCAGTGTGCAGGAGGATGGCACTTTACCTGTCAGCAATGTCACCAAAAATCACTGCTCCAATCAGGACTCCAAGCATGAATGTTGGCTGGATGAGTTTTGCCAGCCATTCTCTGTCACAGACCAGATCCCATTGCGTAACAACCGTGCTCTTCCACTTGGTGTCATCGTAGAGGAACCCATCAGAGCAAGGAAACACTGACTTGTTGCCTTTGTATTCATAGGTCAGACCCAAACCAACATCTCGTCTGGCTCTGCTGCACTGGTCAAGTTCCCAAATTTCTCCATTTTCCAGCTGGACTACAATGTAATTTTCTGTTGATGTCCACAGTGTCCAGATGTCCTCTATGCTGGATTCAGAGGAGTTGTAGAAAAGAACACTACTCACATTTCCAGGGATCCCACAGACAAAGTTGGGAGTTACAGCCATGAACACAGATGATAAGTAATGGATACCACATGACATAGCTTGAAAGACAGATGCAAAATAAACACATGCTTGAAACCTGTAAAGGGAAGGAAAAAAAGTTCACTGAAGAAGAGCCCTTAATACACACAAAAAAAATAAATCAGCATTATTATTTTGCTCAGATCAGTAAATGGAGACATAATTAAAGTGCCCAGTGTTTGGTCCTATGGTGCTGCTTCAAACTGAGCTGAGCTGAAGAGATCAAAGCAGAGCTATCAGGAAATAAATGCTACTCTAAGTCCTGTGTTTAGTCATGCACAGAGAAGACCACTGAAAAAGAAATCATTCTGAACTTCAACACTTAGTTTGAAGCAACCTTCTACCCTCCAAGTGTGTGTGGTACATCCTCTCAAAATAAGGCCTTCATTACTGTAATGGGTAGGGAAACCAAAGTCTTGCAACCTCAGGTTCTAAGGGATATGCACATCAAATAAAACAAAGCAAACTCCTTGTGCCCTTCATTTCACCTGACTGGAGCTATGTAACTCTATTCTATCTCCCTTTCATCTCTCTGTGTTGCCTCTGAAAGACAAAGAAGGAACACGTGTAGACACATGTAGAGGAGATAGAATCTTAACAATGTGAAATGTTTTCTACCAAAACTTAGCTGTTTGTGGGGTTGGGTTTGGCCTTAGACAGGGTGTGCAGTTATGCATTAAAGATTGTATCATAAAGCACACATAGTAAAAGAATGTTTTATGCATAGCCTGAGTTTTGGTATTTTAACAGCTTTTAAAACATGCTTGAGATACAAGTAAATCTTAGTCTATAAATTACACATCTGTTATCAGTTTCGAAAGACTTGAAATGAACTCTACCATCACTGCCTGCCAATTCTAGACAATTTCTGACAATCTAAGCATAAGAAGGGTCTATTCCTCAATTTAGTGTTAAAATTTGACACATCATTAGTAGTACATCTGTTCAGACAAAACAAAATAGCTTTGGTTTCTCCTCCACTTTTTGTTCCTGAAGGCCAACCAATTGCTCCAGAGAAGCATTCCCTGAGCTTCTCTATGTACATCCTTCCTGCAGTAGGTGCTGAGCTTGGTACTACTAAACAAAAAGCAGCTTTTTTTTTTTCTAAGTAACCAGAGGCCACCCCTGCTGAAGCTATAGGAAGTGATGCCTAAAACCCAACTGCCTTAGAATGTCTCGTGGGAAATGCAGAGCAATTCCAATCCCAGTAGAAAATGCAACCTCTGGATCTCCCTGTCCAAAATGTATCAAATGTAGCCTTGAAGTTTCCTAACACAGGTTGCAACAGGACCTAGTCTAGGACTTTTAAATCATCTGTCATCACAATTGCTAAAGAATTTCTAAACTACCTTTAACCAAAGGATGTAACCAGAATTTGCTGGATACATCGTCTTAATGTTCAATTAACTTTTCCAATTAAGCAGTTTTCTTGTATAACCTAACTCCATCCACCATCATCCCCATTCTCTTCTGCCTTTTGTTTTGTGATTCTC